AAGGAAGACAATTGGCAGAAAGGCCGAAGTGGTGGAAACCTCAACGAAAAAGATCTCTTAGAACAGTTATACCATTCACCACCGGAAATGGGACCTGGAAGGTGAGGAAGCAGAGGTTATAACGTCAAAAATGGGAAAATTTCCTTCTTCAGCCCCGGCATGAGTTCGCCAGGCAGAATTGTCGGCGCAGCTTGATCAGCTCCGAAACAGTGGCAGCATGTCGGAGTCCTCTTGTATAGGTATACTAGACAAAGCTCGAGTATACGGAGACATGATACTCGTCCACTCGCTACTCACGAGTGGGGACATCACCTGCGCGGCGGCGCGAGTATAAGCATAAAAATGGCAAAGATTCCTTCTTCGGGCCGACGTGAGCTCGCCAAGCAGAATTGTCAGCGCCGCTTGATCAGCTTCGAAGTAGTGGCAGCATGGGAAGACAGGACACGCGCCCACTCGCTACTCACGAGTGGGAACACCACCTGCGTGATGGCGCGAGTATGACCTGCTGCAAGAAAGCGTGGAAAGCCGCTTGGTCGATAGCGTTTCCGGTGTAGGTGACAACAAGAAAGCATAGCAGTAATTCGGGTTACGACGCCGAAGAGTAGAATTAGCACTAAAAATTAGCGCTAATCCTGCTCCCTCCGCCCGTCTCTGGATCCTACGCCAATTTTCATTCGCGTTGCAGACCAAATTTTGCAGTGTCTCTTCTTGCTGTTTTTGTTTTTTAACTACGGACGTTGCTCGTTCCTGAGCTGTTTTTTAGGAACTCAACTGAGTGTCGTTCTCCTTTTCTTTGTTTTTTTTTCCCCCCTAAAGTGCTCCGTATATATTGCATAAAACAGGGAGGAGGTCGGGGACCTCACAATTCAACCCGGAGTTATCCTGGCAGCCTGAACCAGTTTCGCTTACGAACCAAGAAAAATCAGGCTCGAAGACCCATCCTTGCTCAAAACTTATTAACCTATCAGAACCTAACAACAAAGCCAAGACCAAAAAAAAAAAAAAAAAAAAAAAAAAAAAAAAAAAAAAAAAAAAAAAAAAAGTTGGAAACCGGGTCCCGCGTCCCATATTAGAATAAGAAACCTGACATTTGAGGAAAGTATTTTCCAAGTATCCTATCATCCCTTTATAGTTCTACCAAACCTAAGCACTATCAACCAACTTTAACTAGGATTCCTATGAACTGCTGCGTTGGCCTAAAAACCCGGTCAATTACTCCGACCTTTTTTTTCCAATCCCAACAGTACCCATAATATTAGGCCTAAGACGGTCCAATATGAACCAGCGTAGTACCACATATTTTGTCTGAGAGCAGCCAAACCCCAGAAGGGGTTTTCTTTTCATTCATCATCTTTCAGTAACCACGAAGGAAAATGAAGCACGCCACCCGGTTTGAAGAGAACCAACTGTGCATTCCCACCCCAAGTTCTAGAGAACCACCCAACAGGTCTGCCATCCGTTTTCCTTCGAGTTCATTTCCTCCAGTCGACAATTATAGTGTGCCTGATTTCTGCCTTAACTTTGTTGATGATAGACTTTAGCGAGAGGTGAGAATTTCTAAGGACCTGATCATTACGATCAGCCCAAATAACCCCCAAAACAATACCTCTCACTACCTGGGCAACATACCCTCACCCCACTGATGCAGGCATACCACCTGGTAGGATTCCTTGTAAGATCCAACTATCATTCCATGGAAAGATGTCCTTCGTAATCTATTTCCAACAATGTTTCCACCAGGTCTATACTCTTCGTGAGAGAGGGCAAGCCAACCACAGATGACTTCTGGTTTCCCATGCCCAATTGCAGCGAGTGCATGTGGTAGTGATCTCCATGCCTCTTAGGTGTAGCCACATTGCTGAAGCTGTAACCAACAATGTGTACAGGGCTAAAATGCTAGCCTGTTTCTGTGATAGTAATGCGTTCAATTGTTTCCAATGGGTCTGCAGGTCTTTCCTGGCTATTTCAGGTAAGGATTGGTCCTTCCTTCTATTCATTATTATATCCACAGGTTTCTTCTTGCTCTTCTGTCGAAGGAGATCCACTGCTTTTTTGGCAGTATATCCACTTAGTCCTATGTACTTGCCAGTCTTCCGGTCGGTTCAGCCAACAGCGCACGGATTCAAGGCCATATCAAGTAGGGTTTTCTCTTTGGCCACCAGTCTGACCACTGAGAGACCTTCTGACACGTTATCTGCATTTCTCCCAGAAGACCCACCCTTGGCTGAGACTTCAGTGACTATCTGGACAGTGTCTTCCAGAGATGCTACAACTCTCTTTTCCTTGAAACACAGTAGTCTAGTAAAGGGAGTAGTTGTTGTTTCTATCCAAACCTCTACTTGATAACCTCCCCCAGCTTCAGGCCCCAACAAATTTCAATATTCTTGTAGTTGTTGCTGCTGCTCTTGCTGACACTGATGATGATGTTGTAGCATGCTTTGCAGCGGTTGTTGCTGGTGTGTGCTCATCGACTTAAGCCAACGACTACCAGACCCCTGTCCGTAAAGTAGCGGGGTCCAATTCGGAGGGAGCGCATTCTGAATTTCAGTTAAATGTTATTCTACATTGCGCAAATACCGGACCTGGTTTCGAATGGTTGCCTCTGACGTCCAGTCTTTGAGTTCTATATCCTATAAGTCCACGATGCGAACTATACCACGTTCCACCCATGCCTCCCAAAACAGCCTGGGGACTCGTGCGCCAAGAAGGCGGAGTCTTTCGGTCTACACAAAAGAGCATTTTCAAATATGGGTTGTGCAAGGACTTCTTCCAAAGATTCGGGATGTACCAAATTATCAGGCAGGACCCTAGACCAAGCATATAAAATGTCCCTAAAAAACTTAAACTTTGGACGTTTATGGCTATATGATTTAATAAACAGGCAGATCCAGATATCTATAGGTTTGCTCAGGTTCCATTCTTCACTAAGTATGTACTCTGCCAACCAGATCCAAGCATGTTTGTTGTCTACTAGAATTGCTTTAATTGGCCATTTTGCCAAGAGTCGATGTTTTGCCATTTTTTATCTAATATCCCAAACCCTCCTTCATCTCTGGGGAAAGACACCGATTCCTAGGCTACCTTGGATAGGAATCCATCTTCCTCCGTTGCCTCTAGTTTCCAAAGGAATTTGGAGGCCCTGTTCCTTATCTTCTTGTAAGCACGGTCCCCCAACCGATGGACTTGGAGCGGATACCAGAGGATAGAGAAGGCTGAGGAGGTAAGCACCAAGGCATGGCCAAGTACAGACAAATGCCGCGTATAGTCCCATTTACCAATTCTTTGACACACTTTCTCCACCAAAAGTTGGTCTTGCAAGTCCGAGTTATCTAAGAATGATACTTGAACCCCCAAGTAGCGGTCAGAGGTCTCCACGGGTATACGCCTCATACCCCATTCTACTTGAAGTTGGAATTGCGCAGGCAAGAAAAACACGGACTTGCTCAAATTTATAGAGGTATCCGATAGTATTGAATAATCATTTAAGATATTACAAATACCCAGCAGCGAAGCTTTCTCATTCAGACACGTTATCGTCAGATCATCCGCCAAGGCCCCCTCTTTCCATTGATAGTTATTATGGAGTTCCGGTCCGGTAATCAGATTACTATGTCTTATGTTGTCCAACAAAATTTCAAGGTGTAGCACAAAGAGTAAGGGGGCTAAAGGGCACCCTTGCCTCAACGAGCGGGACAAATTGAATTCTTGGGACGGATAATTGTTCACCATCACCATCGCTGTAGAGATTGAGTACATCACTAAGACCCATCTACATAAATTCGAGTCAAACCCTAGGTGTGTTAGTGTTGTACCCACAAAGGTCCAACCCACCTTGTCATAGGCCTTCTCCATATCAGTAAGGAGAATGAATGCATTTCGGTTCTCCTGGGCTATTACTTCAAGTGTCTGAATGGTGGCAGTTATATTATCCATTATTGATCTGTGTTTTACAAATGATCCCTGCTCTGACCCTACTAAATCAGGTAAGTATTTGGACAGACGCAGAGCGAAGACTTTAGCTAGAATTTTGTATGATACATTCAATAGGGAGATTGACCTCCAATTTCTTATGTCTAGCTTTTCACATTTTTTGTAGATCAAAGTAATAATCTCTTTTTGCATTCTTTTGGATAGGGACCCCCCAATTAGTACACCGTTATAAACTTTCACTAGGGCTGGACCAAGTACATCCCACAGGGCCAGATAAGCTTCCACAGAGGCAAACCATCCGACCCTGAGCATTTCCCATATGTCATTTGTTCGGTAGCCTGTCTAAGCTCCTCCAATGTGCAGGGTCGGTTTAGATCCAGTTTTCCTGCCATTAGTCGTTGAGCTTTGGATTTAAACCAAAATGAAGATGTTACTCTCAAGTCTGTTTGAAAGGAGTCGTTTGGATGTCTAGTAGTTAAAATATCTTCAAAGTACAGTTGGGCATATTGGCTCATGCCCACAGGGTTCAATTTCTCCGGTGCCGGATTTGAAAAGGGATGTGAGAGTTTTCGAATCAAAGGTTTGGTTTTTCTGAGGAGCAGTCTGCAAAAGATGTTCCCGTTGAGTCTGTCATTTGTAATGATTCCTTTTTGGTAGAGTCATGCTTTCCACTTTTCCTGTTGCGCTATTTCCAGGCCATCGAGCTCGGTGGACGCTCTTTTCCTTACTGCAGTCCAGTAGGCATATGAGATTTGGTGTTCTCCAAATTTATTATCTGCCTGTTTGATCTTATCAATCATTTTTTGTTCCTTCTGCTTTTCTTCCACTGCCTTAATCCTTAAGAATACCTTAAAATAATTTTTCGTGATATTTAGTCTCGTTTCAAACCAAGATTCCGTATCTGGAAAAAGGGACCGTGCTTCTTGCCACTTTTTCCAATGTCGGTCTGCCCATTCTAACAGTTTTTCATCTCTCAGATGTTCGGTGTTAAGGCGGAATGGAGTTTTCCCCGCATTAGATGGGTTATAATGCGGGGTTATGAGTGTTCAGTTCCGCTATAACAGGATAGTGGTCTGACATAGAAGTGGTACCGATTTCTACTCTTAGGCATCTATCCCAGAGTGCTCCTCTGACCATAAAAAAATCAAATTTACACCTAACCGGTGGGACTTGTGATCCATGCCAGGTATGCTCTTGCACATCCGGGTGGAATGTTCTGTAGGCATTTATCAACTGCTGCGATTCGATGATAGCATGTAGTAGGCGTCCATCTGTTCGGATTGGTTCCAATTTTGATGAATTGAGCCTAGGGTTAAGACTGTGTTCCAGTCTGCAACAAGTTGGGGCTATATGGTAGGACAGCGGAAAGTTCCGCCAGAAAGGGTATTCTTTCGTTATAAATAGCAGGTACGTAAATGAACATTACTGTCCACAATTCCCCAAAGAGTTCAAATTGGACCCACATCCAACGCCCCCACAGATCAGACATGGAGTCCGTGACGCAGATCTCAAGGTCTCTGTGAAATAAAATACCGACCCCACCTCTGGTACCACGTGCGGGTGACCAGAACTGTGGACCACTCCACCACTTGTTCCCGAGGATTCTTTGTTCGTCCAACTTAGTTTCCTGAAGACACATATGTGTATTTTCTTCTCATGCATCCAAGTTTTAAGTTTTTCCCTCTTTGGTTAGTGAACGAATCAGACCTGCTGCCGACAACGCGGTAAGATTCTTCCGTTGATTTCCTCTCTTTACCGAAGATTCCCTACTGGAGTCATGACTGAAACTGGAGATGGAGTCCTCTGTCCCTTCTCTTGACCCTGTTTTCATCATGATACGAGATCTCTTCAGAGGGGAGGAGCCGGGGCCTTTCGTGATCGAAGCTTCAGTTTCCTTTAGATCCTCCCAGGTTCTGGATGCGTCCGCATCCGCTGAGTCGATGTTGATTTTGTTTACCGGACTTTTTTGCGCATCCTTCATTACCTTGTCTGAATTTTTCGACTTTTCAGACGATCCCAAATTCGATGGTGCAGTTTTTTTTTGTCGGGCTTTTTGTCATGTCGAAGGCTCGCTCGGATGTTAATTCTTCCCTAATTTACTGGTGGAGCTTTTCTCCTTCGCTTTCCCTTTCAGATCTTAGTTGTTGGGCTTCCTTGGATCTATTTTTATGACCGACGTTCCCGTTGCTGATTCTGCCCTATTCCCCCGACATTTCCACCTACTCTTTTTCGGTACCTATTTCACCCAAATGTCGGTGCAGACTGACCCAGTGGTACAAATCCAGAGAAAGGGGGGGAGGGGGAGAGGTTCCTTTGTTGAAGGATCCGCAAAGGGGTTTGATTCCCTCGCCAAGCAACAGGAATCTGTCTTAGTGTGATAATGCATGCGGCATGTGTTACACCAGGGAGTGGCAGCTAATATAACCTCAACATGGTACTCCCCTTTTTTGGAAATTCCCACGATTAATTCTTCTTGACCTGCAATTTGCCCAAGGGATCTAGATCGAAACGAACATTCCCCAATTCTGGCTCATCAGTAAATTCTTCGAAAGGGTGAAGTTTAATTACTTTCCCAAAATTTCGTTCCACTACGATGTGGAGCGCAACCATTAGCTGCATCGGAACATTCAGACACCGGATACAAAAGATTTTCGATTTTCCCGTGGTTTTGAAGAATTTCATTTCCGCTAGATCCATCCACGACAAAAAGGATACATCATATGACCGGCCTTTCAACTCAAACGAAACTCCCCCTTCTTGCCTCAACCATTCGGTGATCTCCTTTGTACTGGCCACGTATGTGGCCAGATTCTTTCCCTCATTTTGATGGCGGCCACGTTTTGTGTCCAGATCAATGTCACCATCATCATACCAGGAGTTTTCATATACTCGCACTAGTTGCTTTTTGATATCATTCGATAGGTTTCCCGCATCCTGATGATATTGGATGGTGACTGCGTGGTGTCTGAGCCATCGGGTTTGAGCATCAGAGAAATCCTCATCCAAATCCAAGCGAGCAAAATCCTCTCCTAGTTTCGTAGTACCAATACACAGACCGGACGGGAGAAGACCATCGTGAAAGCAGGCGTCCAAAAGTTCCTTGATATATGCCTTCTCCCCGTCTGCATAATTTCTTTTCGTTGTCTGATCCGGGATGGTATCCCCGACAACGTGTAAGTTGGGAAGATTCGGTTCCATCTCTGGTTCCTTCCGGTAAGGTGATGTAATTAACAAGCAAATACCGCGGCAATTTGTTGATCTCTAACAGATATCCGTATATCGGCATAATAAACTTATATGAGGCCTCAATAGATATAGAGCAAGAACATATGAATTTCTATTGCACAAATGCACGATAACGCAATTTTGTCGACCTTCTGTCTTATCGATAAGGCAGTAGCTTACCCACGATCTTGGACGCAGCAGTCGCCCTCGTAGGGTAGGCTGTTCTTCTTCTGTCAGACATGCGTCGTGTGACAAGTGCCCGGGCGAACATACTCCGAGCCCCCCTGAGAGAGACTTACACCCCGCTCACACTTGAGCAGTTGCTTCCCCGGAAGGGGTCAGGGTGGGGCTCTCCTGACCATCATAGTCTAGCTGTGGTGGGCGGGGGGCGTCCCAGTTACCTGGGAAATGACGAAACGACACCGTAGCATGGTGACGACAGCTAATTCGAGCGGCGCTAGCTAGCGCCAGCCGAAATAGCGCTCGGAGTTCCGCCACACCACTCTCCCCATTCCTTTTCTTTGTTCCAGATGTGCCCAATCTGCCAAACGCCTTTCTGTAGCCATCTCCTGGCGAAGCAGCCAGATCTGTTAGCTGCCGAGAAATGTTGGCCAGATGGGTGTAGGGTGGATGGGTTCTCAAACAGACTACTGTCATCACCCGAATAGAACTCCTGGTGAAAGTTGCTGCAGGAGGTTTTGCAGTGGATTGAAGGATCTTTGCCCAGCCTTCGAGGATTGGGCCCCAGGTCCAGGATTTGACATTTTAAAGGGAAGAGGGGAGGATAAGCAGAGCCTGCCATACCGCGTCAGGATCTGAGTGATCCCATTCGTGGGGCAGGGCTGCCTGAGCTAACCTTATCCATAGTTGAGCCTGTACCGAGGTAAAGAAGCTGCACTGGCCATTTGGCCACTGGGGCTGCATTCTGCACGTCAGGGTACAGGATCCCTAGCTAGGCCCCCCTTGCTGTTTTTCCGTCCATTTCTGACAACTCGCTGACATGTAAAACTCTGTTGAGTGGTGTGGGGACCACCACCTCACCAAAAAACGTGTTTGGTGTTCGGTGAGGGGTGCGAGTCCCAAAGTTGTTTGGTGTACCAACCCGAGTCCCTCTCCAGCCTCTGGTGCACACTACTGGCAGCGAGCCCGCGCCCTGGCGGTACGTCAGTTGTGATCAGAGTCGCACTCCTCGGCCCAGGTCCCACTACCGGTAGCAGCGTCGAGTTTCAGGACGTGTCTGTGGATATGTGCAGAAATCGCGTTGAGCTTTCTCAACCGCACATATCCACGAACGCCTCCAGATTCAGGCGTTGAGGAAGGAAATTCAACCCTGCTAGTGGGACCTGGCCCCTGGAGCCTCTGGGCCGCCTTCCGCATCAGCTGTCCTTGGTCGGGCGGGACGTGGCCCCTGGAGACTCCGGAGGGCCGCCTTCCGCATCAGCTGTCCTCGGTCGGTTGTTGTGATTGAAGGGGTTTTGCCACACCACTCACAAAACGCAAAATACATCGAGTGCATGCATCTTCCTTCGCTACGTGGAGAGAGACATCCGTTACGATCTAGGAATAGTAACGGATGCATCTGGTCACCGCCTGCGTGCAGATGCACTCGTCGTAACTTTTTTTCGTTCCACGTCACGACTACAGTAGAGTGTGGCGACGGGAAGAGAGAAAGGGGGGATGTTCCTCGCGCATCATGTGCGCGGGTGGGGAATACACACAGAGAGAGGGGGTGTTCATTGCGCATCATGTGCGCAGGAGACGGGGGGGGCGCTCCTCGCGCATCATGTGCGGCGGCGGTGCGGCGGTGGGGCGGCGGGAGTGTTCCCCCCGACTAACACCCGCGGGGGAAAGACAGGTGGGGGGTGATCCTCCACGTGGGCGGGAAAGAGCCGTTAGATGACAAGTGGAAACATCTCATACGTGCTTCTGCTGTGGCTTTCCTGGATTGCAGCAGTTACGAGGCTTAGGCCACGTGGCACGTTTCCAAGCTGTCGAGACTTTCGAGGATGATGGGCGTGATCGGAGCATTCCGTGTTCAAGTCCATCGAAATATGGAACCCGGGGTGGGGTAGCGATGCGCCCTCCCCTCTCCCTCGCTCTCTTTTGTGCTCTCTCTGACGATACCCTGCCTGCTGCTCCCACCACACCCTCGCCTAGTGCTGGCTGCTGGTGCATCCTCAGCTCACCCATCCCGTGCACGTGCACCTGCTTGGTCGTT